CTGGGTGCTGGGGCCAAGCATTGCAGTTCCGGGGTGCTGTAGGGGCACCTGGAGCCAGGTTTGGGGGTGCTGAAGGGGGACTCGGAGCCAGGTTTTGGGGTTCTGGGGGGCATGGAGCAGGGTTTTGGGGTGCTAGGGGGACCAGAAGGCAAGTTTTGGGGGTTCATGGAGGTTGGAGCAAAGCTCTGGGGTGCTGCAGGACCCAGAGTCAGGTTTTGGGGTGCTGAGGGAGGCATGGAGCAGGGTTTTAGGGTGCTGGAGGCCTATGCAGTCCAGTTCCAGGGTGCTGTGGGAGGACCTGGAGCCAGGTTTCAGGATTCCAGAGTGGCTGTGACAGGCATTGGGCGCTGTGAGGGTTTGGAGTGCTGCAGTGTTTGGTTTAAGGAGCATGGCTGAGAGGCTGTGGTGGTGTGGAGCAGGGTTTGGGGTGCTGCAGAGGCACCTGGAGCTGGGTTTTGGGGTGCTGGGGGCCTGCCCAGCCCAAGGAAGCCCAGACCCCTGCCCTGGTCTCTCAGAGCAGGGGAGATGCCTGGATCAGATTTAGTGCAGGACATTCTGCAGCTCCCCCACCAAAGCATCATTCCCTGGCTTGCTCCGGTGCAGAAACCCTGGATCCAGATCCTGGACCCTCCCCCCAGCCGGGAACCTCTGCCTGGAGCGAGGGGGAGCTGTTAGCTCCTTCCCCCAGCAAACATCAGTGACCTGGAAATCCCCTCCTTCGTTCCATAGTCCCCCCCTCCTCTCGCACGGAGGCCAGGCTGCAGCAGCCTTCATCCTCCCCTCATCCTCCTCCATGTCAGCTGCTCCAGAAACTACTGCTCCCATCCCACTTATGCAACCACAACCTGCTCATTTTATAACTGACTGAAATACGAGACTCCCGTTTCTGTAAAAAAAAAAAATCTGGATTTTATTTAGATCTCATTCCCTTCTGGAATATGCACCCCAGATATGTGCTGAAGAGAAAGAAAAAAAAAAAAAAGAGAGGAAAAGAGCTGGAAGGTGGGGAACACATCATCAGCTCAGGCTTTCCACAGTCTGACTGAATGCCAGCAGAAACTAGACAGCAGAAAATCTGTGTTGGTTCAGTTCTTTTCAGAGGCTGGGCTTGTGTGCGTGTGAAAATGCAGCGTGCCAGGACAGCAGGAAGGCAGGGTGGTTCTTGTGGGTAGCTGCCACCATTTTGTTGGTGGAAAGGATCCAGGATTCCTCGTAAGTGCCATTTTAAAACTGCACATCATCAAAACCTGGGGGTTTTAAATGTATCCAAAACTTTCTGGGGGAGAAAGGCATCAGAACTAAGAGATCAAGTGGAAAAGCGCAAACCTACACTCACACAAGGGATACCAAAAGCTTCTCTCAAGCCTTCCTTCTTGCAGGAGCCTTTTGTGAAACCACATGGGCCCCCTGGGTGGGCACACCCTGCCCCTGCTGCCCTCCCAGAGGCATCCGTGTCCCTGGAATGACCAGCAAAGGCTACAGAGGGACCGTGGGTGGAATTAGCTCATCCCAGCTGGGAAAAGTGGAAAAGACAACCACCACAATTCACCACTCTGCTCTAGCACATCTCAGCTTGCTGCAGGAGCTGCTGCTGCAGGGGGGCAGGTGAGACCCCAGTGCCACCACTGACCTGTCCCACCCCCAGCACTGCACAAAGCCACCTGTTTTCAGCCTTGCTCCCCATTTTACCCCCCACCTTGTGCTTCAGATTTTAAGTCAATCTCGTCCTTGTCTCTCAGGGCTCTCAAAGACACTTTCAGTGTACCGTTTACCCCGAGATCACTGTGTGTGTTTTTCGGATTTGGGTTAGTTTGGGTGAGTCAGTGAGTGAACTCGTCACTGTACAGCCACCCTGTGCTGCTGCTGAGGCTGGAGGACACAGTGTCACTGTCACAGTACAGCAGGGAGAGAAGGCACAGCCAGGATGCAAGGAAACAAAGGGAAAAAAACAACTCAATTGGATCAAAAGCTTCAGTGTGCAGCTTCCAAGCCTCTGGACATCATCACCTACATTCTACACCCCAGAAGTGATCTCTGAATGATCTACTGCATTCAGCCCCTCAAAATCAGGAGTCTTTCTCCTGGCCAGTTTCTGCACTGAGCACCCACCAGTTCCTTTTTCCTCTCTTTCAGAGCCAGCCCAGCATCAAAAGCCCCGGAAGTGCCTGCCCAGAGCCTGGGGAGGGCCAAAGGCCCCCAGGCACAGGGAGGAGCCACCCTGCCACGGAAAAAGCTTCAGCACGAGTCCTTTACAAAGTACAGGCCACAGAGGGGCAGTACAAAGCTCTAATGGATACACGAGGGGATGCAGCACGGTCGATTTACAGCGTTTACATCCCTCTGAGCACACCCCAGCCCTTGCCCACGAGCGAGCTCAGTTATCCACCTCTTCCTCATCGTTTTGTTCTTCCTCCTCCATCCTTTCATCATCCTCATCATTGTCCTCCTCTCGGCTCTTATCTTGCTCCTCCGAGTCTGCCTTCTTGTCTTTATCTTTCCTGGCCTCTTTCTTTCCTTTCTGCTCACGCCTGTAAACTGGAGGAGAGGGAACAGTGAGGGCTTGGTGCTGGCATGGACAGGTCAGTGGCTGAGGCCCAACGTCCACTTGCTCTCCTGGCTTTGAGGGGAGCAGGGAACTCAGAGCACAACTCACCCTACGAGCTGAGCTGTGCTGAGCAGCTCCATAGGAAATCAGGTTAAATTTCAGCAGAAAAATGCTGAAAAGGACGCAGGTCACATTTACAGGCAGCACCTACGGCTTTCCTTAGATAAACATAATAGGGGAGTGAGAGCAGATGAGACTTTCTCAATCCTCATCAGTTGTGCAATAATGTTATCCCAGTCCTGTTAAGGTGCACATTAGTTACTCCCCAGGCAAACTGCAGGGTAGGATGCTGGGCAAAGAGAAGAGAAACAAGACAGGCAATAAGTGTTGCTTGTCCAGCGTTGGAGGAGAACAGGACTTGGTGCCTCTCAGAGTCCCTGGACACCCACGGAGCACAGTACCTTCCAGGGATTCCTTCAGAGGGGCCACGAATCTCTGGAACTCCATCTCCTCCATGGCAGAAAGCACGTCCCCAGCATTCAGGGTTTTCCTCTTCCCCTTCATGGCAAAGTTATTTGCACTATGCAGAACCAAAAAGAGAGGTAATTGGGGACTGTTGGCAATTTCATCTCGTTTACTGAAGTCATAAGCAACTTTAAAAAGCCATCCCCTAAACATTTAGGTTTCTTTACCATTTACTAAAGGAGGTTTGAGACATTTTTATTTACAATGTCTGTGCTTTCCCACAGGGTTAGTTTCTGCCTGCACAGACCTTTTCTACAAGCAGGAGGAGAAAGCCTGAGCCTTGGCTGTGACAGTTCCACAGAGCCCTAGAAGGGCTAGGGTTCCATAGAAGCCCCTGACACTAGAGGAGTGACTGCCTGCAGAGAATACGCCAAGCCACCCCAAAAACGTGACTGTGTCCTCTGTGGCAGCTCTTGCCCCAACACAGCTTCATGATGAAGAGCCTGAAAATGAGTCAAGTGCTCTGCCTTTGCCAGGAAGGCTGTGCAGCCACGTTCTAAGGTTAATGGCAATTTGGGACCCCTCTTTTTGGGGACCCCCCTTTTTTGGGACATGGCTGTGTCCAGAGCCCAGCTACCTTCCCAAGGGCTGCTCTGGGCAGTCCAAACCCACCTGCTGCAGACTAGTTTATTTATATAAACAGGCAATACAGAAAACCAACACTGGGAGAGAGTCCCCAGGCCAGCAGAAATGAATTATCAATCAAGTGCCCCAGTGACTGCTGCACCAAGTCCTTACCATGATGTTGCATACAGCACAAACACACTTGCTGCTCGGGAGATCGCGCTCCGGGCTTCTTTGGAAATATTGACTCCCTCAGGAAGCTGAAAAACAAATCCAACTTTTATCAGCAGCTGCTAAAAACGACTTAAACTCCATAATTGAAGTGTCAGTTTGTTAAAACACTCAGAGGGCTCAGAAGAACTGGGAACTGCTCTGGGGTGCTGTCGCAGGAGCTCTGCTTCCAGCTGGAAGCCAAGGGCAGTAGGAATGTGTCCCTCGAAGGCACGGAGCTGAGCACAAGCCCAATGACTCCGGCGTTTGGGGTCTGGCCACTGTCTCAGGTAACTCATCCTGTGCCTGCCCAGCTCCAGACACGCTCGCCAGGCCCAGATCCACTCGGCAACCCTCACAGCTCCAGAGCACACGCGCTCAATCAACCCCAGCGAATTATTCTGGATTTTTATATAGACATGGACTCGTGTGCTGAAGTTTCAGGGGGCCTGGTTCTCACAGTGCCACTGCGGGAACTGCGCTGCTGCCGAGCTGCAGCGGTGCAGCCGCGTGGCTCGGGAGCTGCAGCGGTGCAGCTGCATGGCTCGGGAGCTGCAGCGGTGCAGCCGCGTGGCTCGGGACGCTGCAGCGGTGCAGCTGCATGGCTCGGGAGCTGCAGCGAGCGCTGCAGCCCCGGTACCCGAGCGGGACAGCGCAGGGCAGAGCCCGCGGGCCGGGGCCCCGTGGGGCCCGGCACCCACCGCCTCCTTGATGATGCGGGTGATGACGGCGTTGGGCAGGTTCAGGTCCTCCGGTCTCTCCGCCATCCTGGGCCTCCTGCAAGGCAAACGCGGCGTCAGGGGCGCGGGGCTGGGCGGGATCCCGCGGGACGGGGGGATCCCTCAGCACACGGACCCCTCAGCACACGGACCCCTCACGGCCCCTCAGCACACGGACCCCTCAGCACACGGACCCCTCTCGGCCCCTCAGCACACGGACCCCTCACGGCCCCTCACGGCCCCTCAGCACACGGGCCCTCACGACCCCTCACGACCTCTCACGGCCCCTCTCGGCCCCTCTCGGCCCCTCAGCACACGGGCCCCTCACGGCCCCTCAGCACACGGACCCCTCACGACCTCTCTCGGCCCCTCAGCACACGGGCCCCTCACGGTCCCTCTCGGCCCCTCTCGGCCCCTCAGCCGCCCGGCCCGCCCGTACCCAGCCGCGCTCGCCGCCCCGCCCGCTCCCGGCGCGCACCGCGGCGGGAAATGGCGGCGCGGCCTGAGGGACGGCGGGGACAGGCAAGGGACAGCGAGAAGAGGCAGGCGTAGGAACGGGAAAAGGGCAGGCGTGGCTGTAGGTGTATGTATGCATGCATAGGTGTAGGTGCAAGTGTAGGGACAAGTGCAGGTGGTGGGACGGGGACAGGTGTAGGTGAAGGGACTAGGATGGGTTTGGGTGTAGGTGAGGGGATGGGTTTGGGTGTAGGTGATAATGTGAGGACAGGTTCAGGTGAAGGCACAGGGACAGATTCAGGTGTAGCTGAAGGGACTGGGATGGGTTTGGGTGTAGGTGAGGGGATGGGTTCAGGTATAGATGAAGATTCAGGTGAAGGCACAGGGACAGGTTCAGGGAATGGTGTACGGACGGATTCATCTGTGGGTGATGGGACAGGTTCATTGGTAGGTGGTGAGACAGGTTCAGGTGCAGGGGATGATTCAGGGACAGGTTCAGGTGCAGGGGATGATGCAGGGACAGGTTCAGGTGCAGTGATGGGACAAGTTCAGGTGCAGGGGATGATGCAGGGACAGGTTCATCTGTGGGTGATGGGACAGGTTCATTGGTAGGTGGTGGGACAGGTTCAGGTGCAGAGGATGATTCAGGGACAGATTCACGTGCAGGGGACGGTGCAGGTACAAGTTCAGCTGTAGGTGAAGGTTCAGGTGAATGCACAGGGACAGGTTCACCTGTAGGTCCAGGTGGTCACACTGCCGTCACTGGGGGCTGCGAGCAGTGCCAGGCACAGGGGGAGCTGGGGCAGCCCTGGGGCAGAGCTGCTGCCTCTGGGAATGTTCCCAAGATCCCCCAAAGCCCTTGGGATCAGTAAGGCTCCCTCTAAGGCAGTGTGACACTCTTAGCGAGTCAGGCATTTCTGTATCCTTAGCCAAGAGTGTGTGTGGCTGACAAAGCTCCAGGATCTGCACTAACACAGATACAAAACTTTTTCACTTATTTGTACATTTTTAGCAAACCAATTCATGTTCATTTGCTCTAGGTTACATAATTCTCTTTATTACTTAGTGTTCTATCTGCTCTTGGTTGTTAATTTCTCACTCTTCACACTAATCTGGTCCACATACTTTATTACTTTTATAATCTTTTTCCCAGTCAGGGAATCTCCAACTTTCCATGCCTTAATCTCCTCTGCATTTTTTGCTTACTCCAACACACTTGAAGGGTCATAAATTTAAGATCCCAGATGTCCAATCTCCAACTCCCTTTGGCTTTGTTTATTGAAGCTTGGCTGAGTTACTTGTAGCAAATCTGAGGTTTTGGTTATTTAGTGATCAAAGTAATTGTAAGAGCCTGTGAAGAAAGTTAACTAGTGCTATCTGAATGTGGGCACTGGTTGCAATTAATTAAAACAATTAAGAGAGTTACATCATTTCCAACAGGAAATAACAGCTGTTTTCCCCACACTGGGTTCTGGCCTCTTCCCTTGTGGCTGTGTGAGGGCACAGGGCTGTGAGCTTCTCCATCCCTGCCCCACTGGCTCCATGCCTGGCCTAAACCCTGTAATTCCATGAGACTTTATCCCTGTTGGTAACCTGACCAGGTAATTAAGTAAGCTCAGAGTGCAAGAAAGCACATTAATTAGGTGCTGTGGTGATATTTGAAATTGTGAGCAGTGATTGACAGTGCGGCTCTTTTCCATGGAAAATGGGAATTTCCTGTTACCAAGGGCAGTGTTTCTGTTGTGGGGAGAGTGGGCAGAGATTTGTGAGCACAGGTGAAGGTAACTGTGCTGTGCTGGGAGAAGCACACCATGAGTACACCTGGGCCAGGCCTGTGTGAGCCCCTGTTCCAGTTCCAGGGACTGGATTAATAAACTCCGTCCCTGCTGTACAAATCATGTGTAAGTTTTGGTTTTAGCTCCTTTCCATGTGCTCTGTTGTTAACCCTGGCTGCTGGGTGTCCCTGGGCAGGTGTGGCAGTGCTGCCATTGGGAGGGGGCATTCACACGTGGCAGGCTAGCTGCTGTGACAGTGACCATGACAGGCTGAGCTGCTGTGACAGTGACCATGATAGACTCGGATCCTGGACAGGGGGGTGGCTCAGAGCTCTTGGAGCCCTTGGGAGCCCCTGCTGTTCATTTTGGCTTCTGTGTTTTAGAGCATGAGGTGTTCTTGTCCATGAATTGAGAACCAAGCAAGTTGGTGGTGTGATACTGCCTGGAGAAGGGGTGGGATGGAGCAGAGCCAGGAATGGGGCTGCCCAAATCCAGGGATATGGCCCAAAGCTGCCCCATTCAGCAGCAAAGCCTGGGCTGGGACCATCCAGCTCTGTGTGTCTTCTGGACACAACAGGCTCTCCTCCCTGGTCCCTGGTGTGAGTCTATGTTTGTTTTTAATTACAATGTCTGTAGATTGGTACATTGAGTCCCAGGAAGGGACATTAAAGCCCATTCCATGGACAGGGACACCTTCCACTGTCCCAGGTTGCTCCAAGCCCTGTCCAGCCTGGCCTTGGACACTTCCAGGGATCCAGGGGCAGCTATCCTGGCCTTATATCCTGTAAATCCAGAGCCTTTATTTTAAATCAGCTTCCTAGTTTTGTTTCGCTGTCGTGTGTAAAACATGGAAGATGTTGAGCATGCAGTGCTCAAGTTTACTGCTGTGAGTCACATTTTACACTGCAACAAAAATATTGTTCCATGTACACAGGTATAAATACAGTGACAGAGGAGCAGCAGCTCAGCTCTGCCTGAGAGGGAAAGAAAAACCATAGGACAATATGGTCCTTCTGTACTTCAGGGAAAGGCTATAACAGATTTAGATTTAAATGCTTTAAATTAGATACTAAGAAAGCACCCTGGCAGGGTGGGCAGGCCCTGGCACAGGGTGCCCAGAGCAGCTGTGGCTGCCCCTGGATCCCTGGCAGTGCCCAAGGCCAGGCTGGACAGGGCTGGGAGTAGCCTGGGACAGTGGGAGGTGTCCCTGCCATGGCAGGGGTGGAATGAGAGGATCTTTAAGGTCCCTTCCACATTCTGTGATTGTTTGATGACTCTGTACTGATAGTCAGGAGATGAACACTGTGATTTTTATGCCTGCAGTGAGGGTGGGTACTCCTTTAGCCTGCTTGTTTTTCACAACATTGCACAAAAATGTGACATTTAAGGTTTATCTGCAGGCACAGAGCTTACCCAGCAATGTTTGTACTCCTCAGAACCCACTGTTAGTACAGAGGGGCTTGAATCTCACTTGACTTCTGTGAAAATGACACTTCAGCATCATCATGGCCAAAGAAAAAAATATTAATACAAAAATACAGATTATTCCAATGTAGAACAGTCACTGTGGAACGCCTGTATTTTTTCCAGCACTCTTGAAGCCCTGTTTGGATGGGTGCCATCCAAGTCCTGTAAATAAGAGGCTGTTGTTGCAGTAACAGATAGCTCCTGTAGAATCAGGGATGAGGTGTGCCAGGACGTGGTGCACAGGGGAGTTCTGAACAGCAAACCCTTCCCTCTGGGCACTCCCTGGCTCTGCTCTGAATGTTGTGGGGTTGCAGGATTAACTGTGAGGTCTTGAGCCTGAGAAGCGTTCAGTGCGTTCCTATCCCCGTGAGTCACTTCACACCTCTCCCCCTCCTAGTGCTGAACGGATCCACCCGGCTCTGGGTGACTCAGGGGACAGGGCAGCGCTCAGGGGACTCAAAACAAACAGCAAGAGACCCAGTGGTCACAAGGCAGGAGGCGAGGACACAGGGACACATCCCAGACTGGTGCTGGATGAGACACAGGGACACATCCCAAACTGGTTTGGATGAGGGATGAGACACAGGGACACATCCCAAACTGGTGTTGGATGAAGGCAGAAACACAGGGACACATCTCAAACTGGTGTTGGATGAGGGATGAGACACAGGGACACATCCCAAACTGGTGTTGGATGAAGGCAGGAACACATCTCAAACTGGTGTTGGATGAAGACAGAGACACATCCCAAACTGTTGTTGGATGGTTTGCACTTACCAATTTAAATTTCCTTGAGAGACTGTCCACGATTGCTCTGTTTTTTAAAGTTTTTTTTCCTTTTGGTCGTGGAAGAAGAATGAATGTGAAAGACTCAACAGCATCCTTTTTAAAAATAAGCTTCACTTGGTCATTTTAATCTCTAAATTTTTAAGGGCATCAGGCCTCTAACTGAGAGCTGGTGCCTGGAATGATTCCATTTTTCCTCCCCCTAAAGACAGGCCAGGCACTGCAGGCAGGAGCCTGGTCCCCAGAGGATGGAGCTGTCCCTTGGAGGTGTCACTCACACACTTCTCTTCCTACCTCAGGCCCTCTAAGTTTAGCTCACCTCTGATGGAGGCCTCCGAGGCAGCACTTTCAAAATATCTTCCTGGCATTCTTTTTTTAGCCATAAACGAATTCAGCAGTTTTAACTGTCAAAAAAGCGCCAGCCTAAAATTCTGCTGATTGAGTGGACTTTCCTATGTGACCTAAGACAGAGACTTGGACAAATCCTGTGTACCAGGTCAGGAGCTATTTTCAGCCACATGGACGGACTATTGCATTAACTGTAACTTTGTTATTCCCTTTGGAAAGTGCTTTGGGAAGGAAAGCTGTAGGGTAACCTCTGTGTCACCTCTCCTGGTGTTCATTCAGGTTTGTGGCACCATGAATCTTGCTCCTGTTTTTGCTGTGCTCCAGCCAGAGCTGAGCTCTGCAGCAGGGTCAGACATCCCCTCACCTGGACAGATGGCCCTGGTGCTCTGGAATAACATGGGGAGAGTGAGTGGTCTCAGCTCCCAGGGAAGGGAATGCCTTCCTGATCATGGCTAATGGGATCCTGCTTAAACAATATGGGCAATAATCAAGCTGTGCTCAGCTAATTGATCCAGAACACCAATTAATCCACAGAGGTGGCTTAAAGGTGCCCCAGTAAGGCTGGGCTAATGGTGTGCCACTACACAAATGAGAT